CTATCCTATCCTATCCTATCCTATCCTATCCTATCCTATCCTATCCTATCCTATCCTATCCTATCCCACCCACCCCACCCACCCACCCACCCATGCACCCTATCTGTCTGTCTGTCTGTCTGTCTGTCTGTCTGTCTATCTATCTATCTATCCACCCATCTCTATCTTCTATATATCTTCTATCTTCTATCTTCTGTCTTCTATTTATCACCTATTATCTATGATTTTCACCCATTAAGAATGAGCAGCACAAGTTATGTAGAGAGTATAGCTATATTCCATCTTGTGTGCACTGAAATTAGGAGTTTTATAAATACAGAATTTAAGTTTTGAAACTGTAGGTAGACTTCCATTCCTAAGCGCTGCCATTTTCTGGCCTAGTCACTTCTGATTAATCTTAGAAATGTCACTATGTTTTTATTATCATTGGCCGGTCGATAGGAAGGGACACTGCACGTTCCTTCTTTCATGTGTGCCTGTGGGCAGCCATTCTACATGGTACCTGGTTAGTGAAATATGAATCTGCAAAAGATATTTATTATCTGTAATTCGAAATGAGAAGTTGCGATAAACGGAGCAGGTCAAAAATATAGGATAGCATAACTGATTTTCAGTGGAAATGGATCATTATTGGTTAAACATTTCTAGCCTGTGTATTGGTATAATTTATAGCTATATAATTTCATGCAGCAGAAATTCCGCTTTTCTGTGATTATATGTTCAATTCGCCATGCGTATTATGGGGGCTGTGATGCCTTTCACGGGAATAAATAACTTCATAGGTCTTGGAGTGCTTGCTTTTTTTATGGTAAAACGTTCCAATTTTTGTTTTAAATCACTGTGTGAAATTCACCTATGCAGTTTTGCATTTAGCAATACAGCCTTACGTAAATACACAGTTGTACTTATTCTTTCATACTTCTATATTTGAGAAACAATATAAGTATGAAATATGCACATCAAACATTTAGAAACACATCAAACACGCCTCTTAACGTGTGCTTATGTAGGCTGAATAGCAATCCCTAAAAGATAACTTTGGAAGCAATGGGGTTATAGAGGTAAAATTGCAATGAGAATTGTTTTTCATTTCTTCCTTTGTAATTGCAAATAATCGGAATGTCTATTTTGTAAATACTTAGAATGTCTACACCTTATAAATGGAGATTCTCGGGTTTTTAAATCTACTTTTGCTGATTTTTTTTTTAAAAAATCATCTCTACTCCATTAAATGCAAAGAAACATAATTGATGGAGACACTTTTAAGAGAGATCGGGGGAAGCATGGGTGAATGCGGAAGCTTAATGACTGCTTGCTTCACTTAACAACTGCAGGGACTCACTTAATGACTGTGGCAAAAAGATTGTAAAATGGGGCAAAACTTACTTAACAACTGCCTTGTTTAGCAATGGAAATTTTGGGCTCAATTGTAGTTGTAAATTGACAACTACCTGCAAATAAATAACAAAATTATCTGCCCCATACGTTTAAATTTTCCTAAGCTTGCCATTCTAATATTCTCTTTCTCTCTCTCTCCCTCTTTCACACTCTCTCTTTCTCTCTCTCTCCCCCTCTTTCTCTTTCTCTCTCCCTTTCACTCCTTCTCTCTCTCTTCCTCTTTCCCTCTCTCTCTCCTTCTTTCATTCTTCTCTCTCCCCCTCTGTCTCCCTCTTTCACTCTCTCTCTCCCCCTCTCTCTCTCTTTCTCTCTCTCTCTTTTTTCTCTCTCTCTTTCACACACTCTCTCTCCCTCTTTCTCTCTCTTTCTCTCTCCCTTTCACTCTTTCTCTCCCTCTTTCCCTCTTTCCCTCTCTCTCCTTCTTTCCCTCTTCTCTCTCCCTCTTTCTCTCTTTCCCTCTCTCCCTCTTTCTCTGTCTTTCTTTCTCTCTCCCTCTTTCTCCCTCCCTCTTTCTCTCTCCTTCTTTCATTCTTCTCTCTCCCTCTTTCTCTCTCTCCCTCTTTCACACTCTCTCTTTCTCTCTCCCCCCTCTCTCCCTCTTTCTCTCTCCCTTTCACTCTTTCTCTCTCACTCTTTCCCTTTCTCTCCTTCTTTCCGTCTTCTCTCTCACTCTTTCCCTCTCTCCCTCTTTCTGTTTTTCTTTCTCTCTCCCTCTTTCTCTCTCTCTCCTTCTTTCATTCTTCTCTCTCCCTCTTTCTCTCTCTCCCTCTTTCCCTCTCTCTCCCTCTCTCTCTCCCTCCCCTCTTCTCTCTCTCTCCTTTTCTTCATCTTCCCTTTCATTGGACAGAGTTTTAGCCCAGTTGAAAATCTGGCAAAGAAAACTGCAGCTTTCTCCCACAACGATGAAGACAATGCTTCTATTACCATGGAAACTATTCAGATAAAATGTTGGCACATCCTATTAATTGATCAATTAATCCCACCATCTTTCTTTTCCTTCCATCTTTCTCTAGAAAGGAATGGAGGGAAATGCCGCTCCGTTGTGGATTGTGTGTAGGGGGGCGGGGGGGGGGGAATTAAAGCTGCAGTGATTGACTTGGGTTTTGTTTCAGGGCCAAAGAATGGAAGATGGGAAAGTCTTTGCTTGAAGATAAAGGCCTGCGTGTTTCAAAGGGAGAGCCAGCTTTTGGAAGCTCTACTTCCTCCTGTGAGATGCCAGAGAAATTATGTTGAAAGCCTTATTTAAGAAGTGTGTGTGTGGGGGGGACGACTTTAAGGCGCTACCGTCTGAAGAGATTTAGGATTTTGTGATATCATAAAGGAGGCTGACCAAAAAGGAAAGCAGATTTTTAACAGAAAGACGGGGCTGTTTAGTTGAGATAAAATGTGTTCCTTGGTATTTTTAATCACTAGAACATCCAGCTTTGCCAAGTTACGGAGATATATTGTTGCACTGCAGTAAAATGCATGCTTTCCATCCAGAATTACATTTCCCAAATTACATTTCCATCATCCCGAAGTCTAACTGAAATGCTGGGAATCTACTGCTCTTCCACTGCGTCCTTTTCTAATGTTCTACCTCCAGATGTGGATTATCACTCTAATAATTGTCACTCGTCATGGATAATTATCCTATTGAATGAGAATCATGGGAATTGCTTGCTGGATATTATAGCAGAAAGAAGAAAGCTTCAGTAAACAAGATTGAAGTGGGTAGACCAAGACAATGAATCAACTCAAGGTTGTTGCTTTTCTCCTGACTCTTTGAACAGGAGATGGCATGGAGTCCAGATGGGGGCATTGCCCAGGACTGGCTTGGCATCTTTAAGTCCTTAACCTATACAGCAAGGGTCTCCAAACTTGGCGACTTTAAAGCTTGTGGACTTCAACTCCCAGAATTCCTCAGCCAGCTATGCTGGGTATCCGCATGTCTTAAAGTTGCCAAGTTTGGAGATGCCTGCTATATAGTATAATGATGGTGAAGTGCCAAAGTGAGAATGGGTAAAGAGCAACAACATACAGAATATTTGTAGCTCAGGGATGAACTGTGGGGTCCTTGGTGCTCTCTGAACTTGGTGCATTGCTTTACACTGATGATGTTACCTAGTTGGGTAATCTTTATATAAAGCAACACACAGAGCAAACAAAGAGTACAATCAACATGTGCTTTACTGCTCAACTATTTAACTAACTGGAAACAGTTAGTTCTACTTAGAACAAAAGAGCATAGAGTATATACCATACATCCAAACTTGTAAATACTACCCTCTCCTGGCTGAATACTGCTGTAGTTGTTCACATAAAAATACATTCCAACCATAAATTGCAACAGAAACATCTGTAAGGAAACAGCCAAGCTCAGAGAACACCAAGGACCCCACAGTAACAAGGAAGTATAGAAAGCAAGGGAGACTTAAGTGATGTCCGATCCTGGATGAAATAATAGTATATTTTGTGCTAAAGTAAATGTGCTAAGTAAATATGTCAACACTCTGGTGCTCAACAATACCAATTACTTGCCATACAAATGGATGGCTCTACCAGTTGTGCAGCCTGTGTGCATAATCATGCATCTCCCTTTCAAACAATAAGTTGCAGAGATGGCAACTTTTTTCAGAGAAGAAAAATAGCTGTAGCCTGCAAGTATTATGACTATCAACTGATGTTTCCTCGGGAGAGCTGGCTCTTTTCTCTTCCTGTGAAGAAGGAGTATGACTCCATAGGTCTTTCTCCTGAGGTCTCGGATCCAGCTATATGGTTAGGGGCAGGACTGACTGGCTGCTTCAACTTTCTTGGAACTTGCACTCCTTGTATTTATCTTAGAGGTATCCCTCAGCTTCCAAACCCATGAAACAGCATCACTAACCCCATTGGTAGGACAGTGGTTTTAGCTAGGGGTGGGCTTCAGTGGTGGGTTGCCGCCGGTTTGGACCGGTTCACAAGAACCGGTAGTAAAACTGGCGGGAGGCTCCGCCCACTGACCCGGATGTCATCGTAGGTGATTTGCGCATGCGGGCGTGCTGCTAACCAGTAGTAAAGATAAGTAGAACCCACCCCTGGTGGGCTTCAAAATTTTAGCAAGGGGTTCTCTGCCTGGTTGCTGGGTGGGTTTGGCCATGGTGTGCGTGGTTTAGTCGGCCTCCTGCACCATGATGGATGGGTGGGTGTTTTTGTCCTCCCAGGGCTCTGGAGGCTTTCCTCAACCTCCGGGAGGGTGGAAACAGCCTTCCCAGGCTCCGGAGGCCCTCTGGAAAGGGGTCCATTTCTGGCCTTCCCAAACTTCTGGTAGGCCCATTTTTTGCCCTCCCCGAGCCTCCGCGTGCACCCTGCACTTACCTGCATCCAAAATGGGCCACGTGGGGACTCCTGGAAGGGGTGGAGCAGCGTGGCCAGGGCCAGACAGGAGTGGGATTTGGGGGTTCTCTGAACTGCACAGAATCTTAGCTAGAGGTTCCCCTGCAAACCCCCAGCATCCCATCCCTGGTTTTAGCAATACAGGCAGGGTCCTTGGGAATGAAAGCTTTCTCATGGGTCAGAAATTTCTCCTCTGTTGACCTTACTCCAAAATAGCTAATGAACGTAAGATTAGTTTGGGTGGAGCCTTCCGGCATGAAGAACTTGAGTGAAAGAAATGCTGGCGTTGTACTTCTGCAACCTAGCCAATTATGCTTTATGCCTGCTGTTCAAACGAGTCAACGTTGCTTTTGTTATATATGACCCCTAAACTGGATTCAGAGGATCCCTCTTGATTTTCCTCTGCTTTTAAGTTTCCCTTGTATTCCCGACTAGGTTAATTGCTTATGCTCTCATTTGAACAAAACAGTAACCTACCAACCCGGGTCACTGAGCTTTAGGACCAATTTAGTATCTTGTTACAAAACCAAATTAGACCGCTATTGAGGATACAGCTTAAGCTGATCTGCACGAAGTTCAGAGAAGGTGAAATTGTTCCCCTCAATAATTCTGAAAGTCCTTGACTTCTGCTACGTCAATCTCACTTGACTTTGTGGACTCGGCTGATTTTCATGACCAAAAAAAAAAAGATTACACCTGTGTAAAATCATTTTTTAAAATTTTTTCATGTGGTGGAATTGATTGCAACGATGCTACGATGCTTAAATCTAATTTCTCCAGCTTAAGTTTGTTTTTCCCCAGCAATAAAATCCTCCCCTTGTACCCTGCCAGATTCAGACAATCCCCCGTGTAAAATCAGCCCCACTTTGCATAGGTAATTGAATCCTGTAATCTCGAAATTACCTTCAAATTCTGGAATTCTTTCTCTTCCTCCTTGAGGACTTCCAGTTGTTTAAGGACTGAATCTTGCTGGAACTCACTTCTGTCCATCTAGGGTTCAAGGGAAGCAAGTGGTGAGTTGAAGAAGTCAAGCACTAGAAATCTCAATCCAAAGCTCAGTAAATTGAGTTCGAGTACCAGAATGAACCAAAATCCCCCGTGTTCCCCCGTATACCAACAGTGATAGTATACTGTACATTGTGTATCCCAAAGGTGTTTTTTCTAGGAGGCAATTGGACTTTCTTGGTTTTTTTTTTTCTTTTGAAGATGTTTCGCTTCTCATCCAAGAAGCTTCTTCAGCTCTGACAGGATAGCGGGGAAGGGAAGGATTTATATTCCTTGCAGACAGCTGGTCATTTGTATCCTTTTTAGAGGGTCATTGATCTGTGTCCTCAGGGTCACCTGAGTAGTGCTAATGGTTCTCGTGGTCTGCAATTTTTTCCTCTGGAAACCCATTCCTACTCCCAGACCATTCAAAGAGTCTTCATCCCAAATTGTATAGCTTTGGGACAACCATGACCTGGATGACTGAGAATCTCTACAGAGTTTTATACATTGTGTACTATGACTATCATCAAGTTGGATCTCACCATGGGAGCTCCACCTGTGGAGCTCCTTCTAGCTTCTCCATTTAAATGTCTATGCAGAATAATAATAATAATAATAATAATAATAATAATAATAATAATAATAATAATAATAATAATAATAATTTTATTTCTATACCGCCCCTCTCCCGAAGGACTCGGGGCAGTGTACAGCCTATTAAAACAAAAAATATACAAATTTCAAAATTTAAAATTATTACACAATTTCGGCCCAGATTAAAACCCCCAATTTAAAACCCCCAATTTAAAATAATTACATAGTTAGCCCTACCTGGCGAAACAGTAGGGTCTTAAGGGCACAGCGAAACACACGGAGGTCGGAGATCTTGCGTATTTCCGGGGGCAGTTCGTTCCAAAGGGCAGGAGCTCCCACAGAGAAGGCTCTCCCCCTGGGTGTCGCCAGCCGACATTGCTTGGCCGACGGCACCCTGAGGAGTCCCTCTCTGTGTGAGCGGACTGGCCGGTGGGATACTATTGGTGGCAGAAGTCGGTCTCGCAAGTACCCAGGTCCTAAGCCATGGAGCACTTTAAAGGTGGTAACCAACACCTTGAATCGCACTCGGAAGACCACTGGGAGCCAGTGCAGTTCGCGAGGAGAGGTGTCACATGGGCGCAACAAGTCACGCCCATAACCACCCGCGCGGCCGCATTCTGGACCAGTTGGAGCCCCATGTAGAGAGCATTACAGTAGTCCAGTCGTGAGGTGACAAGGGCATGTGTGACCGTGCACAAGGCATCCCGATCCAGAAAGGGCCGCAACTGATTCTCAGTCATCCAGGTCCTCATTGTCCCAAAAGTGCTTTTTTCAAAAGGCAACTGGACTTTTCTTTGCTTTTCCTCGAAGATGTTTCGCTTCTCATCCAAAAAGCTTCTTCAGTTCTGACCAATCCTTCCATCCTCCACCATTCAGTCAGGACTGAAGAATTTCTTCAAGGAGAAACAAAGAAAAGTCCGATTGCCTTTTTAAAAAACAACAACAACAGCACACCTTTGAATCCTCCATTTAAAGATTTATGCTCAAGGGATACTGAGACAATGAGATCGCCAAGAGCTCTTTGCAATCACTCTATTACACTTGACATTGAATTGTACTGGATAGGCCTCAAGCAACTGAAACTGGCATGTTGCTTCTCTAATGCACACTGCCCTCTTCCAGTGCTTGAGTGTCCTGAAGTAGACCTACTGTTAGGATTTAAAAACTTAATATTGCCTAGGAAGGGTGGTGTGGCTCGGGGTGGGGGGGCTGTAAGAAGCTATTAAATGTCTAGGCCATCTGGTCCCATCACTCTAGATGGCGTACTGCATAAAACAAGTCAAACAATGAATAGAAATAATACAATGCAAAAAGGAAATACCTAGGAACAGGGGTGGGCCTCTGGGGGTTTGCAGGGATTCGGGAGAACCTCTAGCTAAGATTCCATGCAGTTCAGAGAACCCCCAAATCCTGGCTGGCCCCACCCATCCCACCTCTCCCAGGAATTCCCACGTGGCCCGTTTTGGATGCAGGTAAGTGCAGGGCATGCACAGAGGCTCGGGGAGGGAGAAAAACGGGCCTACTGGAAGTTCGGGAAGGCCAGAAACGGGCTTGTTTCCGGCCTCCAGAAGGTACCCAGAGCCTCGGGAGGTTGTTTTTGCCCTCCCAGGGGCTCGAGGAAAGTCTCTGGAGCCTGGGGAGGGCAACAATGCCCCACCACCGTGGTGCAGGAGGCCAACTAGGCCACACCCACCCAGCAACCGGGCAGAGAACCCCTTGCTAAAATTTTTGAAGCCCACCCCTGCCTAGGAAGGGGAAAACCCACAAATTTTAATACACCAATCACCCCACAAGGGGTTTACATCTGTAAAGTAACACCTGTGGGAAAACTCTTAGTTTTAACGCTTTTTTTAAAAAAATGTGAGGGAGGAGGGGGCATATAAATCTCTAGGGCAAGGGTGTCAAACTCAAGGCCCGGAGACCAGATCTGGCTTGCAGTGTACTTAGATCCGGCCCATGGGGCCGCCCTGAAATCTCCCGAGCTCTTTTTTCACTGGCAGAGGGTTGCAGGAGGCTGTGGCAGCCGAAAATGGGGAGCCCGTTTTCGCTGGCAGAGTGCTCGGGCCACCACAGCCCCCCCCCGAACATGAGTGATGTTGAGCTGGCCATACCCTCCCCGGCCTCTTGAGGTCAAACACAACCCTGATGTGGCCTTCGATAAAATTGAGTTTGACGCCCCTGCTCTAGGGCTATGCTATACCAAGGGGTCTGAATCAGTTGCCCCTGGTTCGCACCAGTAGTAAAACTGGCAGGAGGCTCCACCCACGTCATCAAAATGTTTCTGCGCATGCGCAGAAGAGATCATGTGCGCAAGAAGCAAGCGTGCGTGCGCGGCCCCGTTGCGAACCGGTAGTAAAGATAAGTAGAACCCACCCCTGGTCTCAATGCTCACGGAAAGACAAAGAGGAGTCTGAAGTGTTTTGCATTCAACTGTTGGGAGAATCTGTCCTTCTCCTGGCTTGTTTGTTTTTCCCATTTTAAAGGCTGCTTTCACTTTAATTCAATAGATGGATCTGTAAGCAACAGCCTATTCTCCCAGCCTCATTAGTTTTTCTGCAAAAGATGCTTCTGATTGGGGGCAAAGTCTATGTTAATTAGAATATGGCTTTAATTACCCTTCCTTTCAGGAAGGTGGGCCTGGATGAGACTTGAATACTTATTGGGCAATTTCTCTGTTGCCTTTTATCTTCCCTAAGATATTGATCGGCTCTGTGTAGCCTTCGCATTTCCTCTTTTGCCACTGCAAGACTGAAGCTTCTAATGGAATTACTGTTTCGGAATGCCCCAGCTAATCGAAAATCTAAATCTATAATACAGTACTGATTGTTGCTTGACTTCTAACATGTCTTTCTTTTAAAGCCTTAGCAAATGAGAATGGAATCGCTTTCCCTGCAGCAGTTTCTGTAGATATGCTGGAAAGCTTTTGGTGCAGCTATTTGATGTCATAAATTAAGGTGTCTCAGGTTTTTCTGGCTGGGAAAGAAACAGCAGCCCTGGTAGTATCTGTTGACAGAGCAGAGCAAATACAGGTATCATAAAGTATCAAATCCAGGCCAGGTAGGGGTGGAAAAAAAAATCTACATGACACTGTTTTTTCAGGGGGTAAGTGTCAGCTTGTGCAATCCTCAGTAGTTCTAATGTTCGATTATCATTTTGTAATATTCATTTTAGAACATTGAAAATTCTTCAGATTAATTTTTTAAAAAAATCAGAATAATTTTAGAACTGCTTTAGGATACACAAGGGTACCTAGTACCTTTTTGCCTCATTATAGCAGCTGCTTCTTTTTTTTCAGGTTTTTCACACTGGCCCTGTAAGCTGCGATGTCCACCTAAGCTGCTTCAAGCAAAATAATTGTGTCCATAAATGTATTTAATTCCAGCAGGAGATTTTGAAGCAGCCACACAAGTCTGAAGAGGTTAAATTTCAGGTACTTGAATATTCTTTGGTCAAATCCCAAAGCCTCAATAAATAGGCCTGAAACTTTGGTCAAGGTTAAATATTTTCTTTATGCCAGTAGGGAGTTGCTGAGATGACAGAGAGTATTTTTATCTGGAAAGAGCAGACTGACCCAGACAGATGCATCTGGGTCAAACAGAACTGCATTTAAGAATTTTTTTTAAAAAAGAGCTTTTATATTTGTTTGTGAGTCACGGTGGCACAGTGGTTAGAATGCAGTACTGCAGGCTACTTCTGCTGACTGCCGGCTGACTGCAATTTTGCAGTTCGAATCTCAGCAGACTGAAGGTTGACTCAGCCTTCCATCCTTCTGAGGTCGGTAAAATGAGGACCCAGATTGTTGGGGGCAAGATGCTGACTCTGTAAACTGCTTAAAGCACTGTAAAGTGGTATATAAGTCTAAGTGCTATTGCTATTGCTATATATACTTGTGGCTATTTTGAAACACCTCTCTTGAAGAATTTGCAAGGCCTATTACTTTTGTAGGTTTACTGATAGGGAGAAGTTTGCAAAAAAAATAATAAATAGTGGGATGATTTAACCACAGTTAAATATTTATTGGTTCGATTTATTTATTGGTTCGATTTATATGCCGCCCTTTTCCGGAGACTCAGGGCATCTTACAATGTGTTAAGCAATAGCCTTCATACTTTTGTATATACCTGCTTAGTAGGGCTTTCGGCCCCCTCTAAGCGGTGTTCTTTTTTATACAAAGTCAGCTTATTGCCCCCACAAACCGGGTCCTCATTTTACCTACCTCGAAAGGATGGAAGGCTGAGTCAACCTTGAGCCTGGTGAGATTTGAACTTGCAGTAATTGCAGGCAGCTGGTGTTACTTAACAGTGCTTTAGTCTGCTGTGCCACCAAGGCTCTTAATAAACAGTTTTATCCATGATAATTTTTTCCTGATACTTTCTGCTTTAGTCAGATACAGTTCTGAGATGCAGTGA